TAGTAGATTTAAACCTATAGCATAATAGGTTAGGGCATATAAACTTAGAAGCTCTTAGGGCATTACTACCTATTAAGGGTAGTAAAATAGACTATTCTATATGCCCTTTAGCTAAATCTAAGCGTACTATATCTACTATACTAGTAGCGGTCTCTAAACCTTATAAGAAGATAGGTCTAGATGTCGTAGGACCTATTACTCCTAAGGGAATAGGGGGATATACCTACTATATAGCCTTTATAGACTATTATAGTAGGTTTACATGGGTATTCCCCCTATTTACTAAAGGAGAAGCCTATAATAAGATAGTTTACTATCTTAAACTTATAGAGCTACATAGTAAAGTCTAGTCTTTAAGGCTAGATAATAGCCTAGAATATAGGGGAACTCAGCTAGATTTACTAGCTGAAAATAAAGGAATAACTCTAGAAAAGAGTTCTCCTTATAGCCTAGAGCAAAACGGGCTTATAGAGAGGATACATGGGTTAATAGATACTATTACCCGTTGCCTTCTCTTAAATTCTAAGGTCCCCCTTACCTTCTAGCTAGAGGCTATTAAAACCGCTACTTATATTCTAAACCGGACCCCTAAGAAGTCCCTAGAGGGTATTTCGCCTCTAGCCCGGCTAAATATAGCTAAGGGCAGGTCTCCTACTATAAATCTCTCTTATATAAAGACTTTTAGAAGTAAAGTCTTTATAAACATCCCTAGAGAAAAGCGTACTATATCCTCTAAATATTCTCCACGCTCTAGGCCTGGTATATTATTAGGCTTTAAGGGGGAGCATATTTATAGATGCTAGGATATAGAAAAACAAGCTATTATACGTACTAGGGATATTACCTTTAAAGAGGATGAATTTCCTTCTCCCTATACTAAAAGTATAGAAGATAAGGAAGATATAGACTATACTAAGCCTATATTTCCTTCTTCTATAACTAGCCCTCCTAATAGACTAAGATCTAGGTCTATAACTACTATAGATACTAGTAGGGAGGAGCCTAGGAGAAGTGAGCGCCTTAGAGAAAAATCCTCTAAGGAATCGACTACTATAGAGGCTACTATTAATAGCCCTATAGAAGAAGTAACTCATCCTCTTAGAGAGACCTTTAAAGAGGTTAGAATCCCTAGTAGTAGTAGCTATGTTACTATAGAAGGCCTAAGTAATATAGAGGAAGATATCTCTTATTACTTACTCTATAGTAATAGGGAACCTACTACTTATAGTTAGGCTATTAATTCTTATAATAGCCTAGACTAGTAGAGAGCTATGCGGGAAGAATATAATTCCCTTATTAAGAATTAAACCTAGATCTTAGTAGACCCGCCTAAGGATAATAAAATTCTTAGAGGTAAATAGGTCTATAAGATTAAAACTAATAATAAGGGAAATATTACCCGCTATAAGGCTAGATGGGTAGTATAAGGCTAAAATTAGGAGTATGGTATAAACTATAAAGAGACTTTTAGCCCTATAGTCTTACCTATAGTTTTACGCCTACTACTAAGCCTTTCTGCCTATTTAGACCTAGAAATCGTACATATAGACGTCGAAACCGCCTTCCTAAATAGGAAAATAAATGAAGACGTCTATATACATCAACCTACAGGCTTTAAGCTTAATAATAAAGTCTATAAATTAAAGAAAGCTCTCTATGGCCTAAAATAAGCCCCTAGGGCATAGGCAGCCTATTTTAGCCACTTCTTAGAAGAGAACGGCTATAAACAGCTTCTATCTAAGGCCTACTTATATACTAAGACCTTTAAAGAAGGCTTATTTATATGGGTCTTAGTATACGTAGACGATATCCTACTTTTTAGTAAGGATATATCTATTATTAATTCTTTTAAAGAATTAATAAGATCTAGGTTTACTATTAAGGACCTAGGACCTATTTCCTATTATTTAGGAATTCAAGTCACCCGGGATAGGTCTAAAAAGACTATATCTTTATTATAGGAAGGCTATCTTTCTAAAGTCTTAGAGACTTTCTCTCTAAGCTCTATTACGCCTTCTAAGACTCCTTATTTATATAAGGAGCTTCCTAGACCACCCGCGGACTATTAGGCTAGTGAAGACCTTATTAAAGAGTATAGATCTTTAATAGGCTCTCTTCTATATGCTATAGTCTATACTAGGCCTAATATAGCTTATATACTAGCTTCTTTAAGCTAGTATTTAAGCTGCCCTCTAGTAGAGCACCTTAGAGCTGCTAAAAGAGTCTTATCCTATCTAAAAGGAACTAAAGATTATACTATTACCTATAAGGGTACTAGTTTTAATCTAGAATCCTACTCCGACTCTAACTTAGAGAATGAGCTTAATAGACATTCTCTAGCAGCTTATATTATTTACTCTACTAATAGGCCTATAGCCTAGAAGGCTAGTAGACTAACCTATATCTCTATTTCTACTATGGAGGCAGAATACATAGGTTATAGTATACTAGCTAAGGTTATCCTTTATATTAAAGGATTTTTAGAAGAGTTAGGTTATAAAGACCTTATACCTACTCCTATAGTCCTTAAAGGGGATAACATACCGGCTATAGCTGCTACGGAAGATACTACTAAAAAGTCTAAGAATATAGATATAAGGTATTACTTCTTAAGGCAGCTAGTTAAGGAAAATCTTATAAGATTCTCCTATATCTCTACTAAAGAGATGCCTATAGACGCCTTAACTAAGGTACTTACTAAGGCTCTCTTTACTAAATTCCTCTCTATTACCCTACGTAATAAGTTAGGGGGAGTGTTAGAGGCCTAAGAATAAGTCTAGACTATTCTAGACTCTTCTAGACCTCTTCTATTACTAAGAACTTATTCCTATAGGTTCTTTTAGATTCTAGCCCTTATTCTAGATTGTCTTATTACTAAGGCCTAGAATCTTCTAGTCTAGATTAATTAGAAATCGTCTTCTATTAATAGAAGAACCTATTACTAATTACCTAGAGATAGAACTCTCTAGAATCTATAGGTTCTTCTATATAAACACCCTTAGGTAGCCTACTAGTTAGTCCTTTAAGGAAGTTCTCTTATAGTAAAGAATCTAATACATTCTCTACTATAAACTATCTACTATACGGTATATAATAAAGATATTACTTATCTTTATAGAATACCGCTAATAACTTATAAGGGCTATAGAGCTAGCTACCTAGAAATAGCTAGGGTAATAGATTATAGTATATACGGATAACTAAGCTATACTATACCGCCTCTAAACCCTATCTAACCTACTAGGTTAAGGTCTATAACTTTAAGCTATAGATATAGGCTACTTAATTATAGCTAGATAAGGTAGTCTTACCTTCTTATAGGCCCTAGGCTATATAGGGATTAGAGGAAACCTATAAGTAGACGCCCTTATAAAGGAGGCTACTAGGCTAACCCTAGAGAATAACTACTTAAGTACTACCCTCCTTAGGATGTACGTATAATAAAGAACTATAGTAGAATAGATAATATATACTATATAATACTAGGAAGCATAGATAATACTATCCTAGGGGTTATATATATATAACTTCCTACCTATACTAAGGATATCTATCTAACTCCCTAAGTATAGATAACTAGAAGTATTAGCCTACTTCTAATTAAAACTAAACTATAGCTACTTTAGAGCCTACCTAGTATAGTTTAGTAAGATAGACTAGGATAATTATAGCTATAATAATACTACCTAATAAATACTATAACACCTTATTAGTAACTACCTACTCTATAGCTCTACTAGGAGAGAAGCTATATAGGTAGCATGTAAGGTATATAACGATAATAGTAGGAAAATAGCCTCTATACCCTATAGAGAGCTATTCTAAGGAGATATTAGTTAATAATTTATACTTAAATTCATATGTTAGACGAAGGTTTCTACTAGGGCATAGCATATATAAATAGTAGACTAAGGGAAAAAAGAAGAGTAAAAAGAAGAGGAGAGAATCTATTCTAATCTCTACTAGTAGAGCGAATAATAAGCTCTATAATCCCTCTACTTATAGTTCCTATAGGTACTACCCTAGAACCCCTCTAACTAAAGATAATTAAGGAAAGGACCCCTTTATCCGTAATCTACCTAATACCCTCTAGGCTTATACCCCTCCTCTACCTTATATAGAGCCTCTACTAAGACCCTAGCCCTCTAGATTAGGAAGGTATTAATATAGCTTAGATGACTACTCCGTAACTACTCTAGCTAAATCCTCCTACTCCTAATAATAATTAGATAACTATTTAGTAGTAAGGTAAGGGCTTAATGCTATTTATCTATATAGTATACCTAGGCTAGGGCGGTATATAGAGCTCTATTATTAGTAATAATATTAACGTATAGTTATCTAATAGTAGTAATAGGGCTAGATTAAATTATAAGTAATATTAATATAGATTAAACCTAGGTTCTTTAGCGTTATTTATTTTCTATAATAAGTATTAGCTAACTATACTAGTTAGCTAGAAGATATATACTACTAGTTAAAAACCTTACCTACCTTTTTTACCTTTATAGGTACTAAGAAAGGTATTATATAATACTAACTAAAAAATAGTACTATTAGGGATAGTACTAGAATGCTATAGTAGAGTATATATATAATCTACCTTACCTACTACCCTATACTATATTTACTTTTCTATATATATCTTCTTCCTATCCCCCTTTCTTTCCTTACTCTTACTTTATACTACCTATCTACTTAGATAATAGTAGGAAGGCTAGTTCTTAGCCCCCCCTTATCTAAAAAGAGCCTAGATAAACTATCTATCTATAATAACCCTATACTAATATTATACTAAGAATTATACTTTATTATATAAGATTCTTTAGCTAGGTATCCCTACTTACCTTATAAATATATGCGGTATCCCCTATAGATAGCTCTATCTTAGATAGCCTATAGCTCTAGTAAGACGTAAAATAATTAATTAATTAATCAATCAAACTAAAAAAGTTTTGTTTATGTATAAAAATGTTTTGCTGTCTCCTATCCTATGAAATGGGGGCGTGGCGCAACGGTAGCGCGTCAGATTCCAGAGTGTATTTTTCAAATCATCTTGATTGTGGATTTAAAAGCTGGAGTCTCCTGAAGGTTGTGCGTTCAAATCGCACCGTCCTCACGTGTTCCTTTTGTCGCTTCATTCAACTTTCCTTTGTGCGGGAAAATCTTTTGGACCATAGGAAATCATTCATTTTGACGGCTCCAGAACTTGGGAACGGCAACTCGATCGTCTCTTGGCTTCTTAGCGTGTCAACACCATCACTTACATCCACTTCGAGAGTATGCGTCAATCCTGTGTCAGAACACCCTTGGTTTTGACTTTTCAGAAGGCTCATGAGTCTCGGAAAGCTGGAAGTCATTGGACACGGACGCTCCCGCGAAGATTAGTCCGATGAATCCGCCATTTTGCGACGTCATGGTGAGGTAGCTGCCAGATTCGTTGCCTTCGATGGGGTGTAACTTGGCTGCTTCGCGGAGCAGCTCCCACATACGGTTAGGGGAGCCGATGGTTGAGGAAGACGTGTAGACGGCGAAGACGGTGATGATCATGACAATGCAAATGATGACGGCGTGAGCCTTGGCATATCAGCTGCTTCCTCTTATGAAGGATCCTTGAAAATATACCCAGTCTGTGAGAAGTGTGGCTTTTATACCTGTGCCATTCAGTCAGCAAGGTCATCGGGAACAGTCGAAAGTGCTGTGCATTACCTCCAGATAAGGTGTAGATCAAAACGCCAATCAGGAAGAGGAAATGAGCGGCATCGCGGTTCCTGCCCGTCATTAAGCTGAAGCGGGTGCTGCCACCGACAAGCAAATTCATTGTCGTAAATATCTGGAAGATTAAACTGTAGCTCATTAGAGTAATGTGACCGGCTGGCCCATATCTTTTCTTGACAACTTCTAGAAACGTACGCGCCCAAGGTGCTTTTCTCTCCAATTCGATTGCTTTCTCAATTAGCTCAGATATCCCAACTCCCGGGAGAGAACGTACCAGCCAAAGAAAACATGAAGGTTTGAAATGTCGCGCCAGCACCATACCAGAAAGGACCACAGACCCCATAGAGGAACCCATCTAGAAGCAGAGAAATTGTCAGTATAATAATCATTGACAGAGGCGATGGCTTCCCTTATCGGTGGTCGAACTAAGCAGTGTTGCGGCAATGGTCCAAGAGGAAACAACCGCAGTAGCAACTAATCCCGTCTTCACTGAATGCTTGGCAGTCATGTACATTTTGGATGTCTGCACCTCTGTCATGTATCTGGACAGACCCCAGGAAAAGAGAGACATGTCAATGGCGAATGCGGCGTCCATGCGAACGATAAGGCCATAGCCGACACTCGGTTCGAAAAAAGGGGGACAAGTTCCCATTGTGATGATTAGTTGGAGTTGTCAACTCAGTCCGAGCGAGATGTCGCAGTGGATTATGCCTCTCGCAGAAGAACCCGGGCGGTGATCAGGAAATGACGTTGCTTCGCTGCTTGTAGCGCCACGGAGAAGCGTAAATAACGTTAGAGACGGATGGTGAAGCTGCAAATGCATCGGAACCGGAAGGCGATCTCTGTGTAACCTCCCTGGCTGATCTCTGTGGAACCTCGTGGTAGATCGTCTTTCTCATGCTCTGGATGGGTACAGCTTGCATTTGATAGGCTGGGTGCCAATGACGGTCCTCAACCTGTGGCGCAGTGTGCGCTATGAATGGCGGCGACGACGACGTGGCAAGATGCAACTGATATCGTGGTATGATATTGACACGTGACTGATACATGATCATGTCCTAAGGAAATCTTGCTTGATGGGCCAAATCTCCAGACTGGACATGTTTAGACCATCTTCACTCATTTGCAACGCTGAGCGGGGTGGGTGTGGAGATCTATCCGTTTTTAGAGCAGCGATGAGCATGGTACCGATTTGCGCGAAGGCAACGCGAAATACTCGGCTTCTGGATCCTTGTTCAAAAGTCACCACTGATACTTTGATATCAATAGGTCAGGCAACAATAAAGAGAGGCTTTGTGGTGTTTCAATGGAATAAAGTGTTTCTGCGGCCCAAGAGTGGGACCTTTCGCTACTGTCGCTATCGCAAGACACGGAGGCGAATACGGAAGTTTTGATAAGGCGGGGCTGATAACCAAAGAAGGCAATCTGATGCAACACGCCGGCGGAGGAAATGATACCACCTGTGTCTGCGTAGCTGAAGTGCTGAATGAAAGCTCCCTAGACGCAACTGCGGTATGCCAGGTTCATGCCGAGCAGAGAATAAACGCTTCTTCCATCCAGCTGCAATACCATGAGGTGACTTCTTTTTGACACTCACCATGGCAGGAGAGACATCCTAAGCGTCCGGTACAACCGGTCTTCATTGTCGTCAAAGCTGAGGACCGAAGTGTCGTCAAGAAGTTTCCATGCTGGGGATCCTGGCAGCGTGCTGCTGTCAAGCGTTTTGCATGCTGTTCAAGCAACGGCACTCTTAGAGCTACAATGAACGGACTTGAGCATGACTGAGCTTGTTTGGACGTCAGAACAAGCCTTGGCCAAATATTTGCTTTTCTTGAGCTCAGACGTGCTTCTCCTTCTATTGTCGCAATGGTGATTTGGGCTCTGGAATTCCGTCCTTTCCCACGATCAGCGGCAACAGTCTGAATCAGTAGGAGCGCCCCCCCCCCCCCCCCCCCCCCCCTGCTCAAGAGACGGGGGCAGGGCGGACCTGGCGGAAAATTTCTCGGAAACAAAGTCGGCTAGAAAGACTTGAAATGATTTGATTGAAGCGTTCGATTGAAAAAATGGAGAGCGGCCGCTAAAAGTACATCTGCCTTTGGTCAAGTGCAGGTACGAAATGGCCTGCTGGTGAGACACGAGGATCCTCTCTTCTATTGTTTTCCGCCAGTGTATACTTACAGCCAACCTTTGCTGGCTTGTCCACCCAACACCCATCCCAGCATTACGCCCATCCAGATGCTGAACCGAAACCGAAGAAATCAGACCAGTCAACTACCAGCAAATCGCTAGTCCCCACCCTCGGCACCATCCTCATCTTCAGACGAGGAAGCGGTAACATCTTCCCACCAGAGCGGAACGATCAGCGTCATGGCGGCATGAGTCTCAGCTCCGGATGGCCTAGGCGGGCGACTTGATGAACTGACCGAAGCAAACACTTCACCAAAATCACTGGTGAGCGTCAGCATGACTTGCCGCCTGAAGAATACAGTAACGAAGGGAAGCAAGGCGGTCGCGGGAATGGAGAATCTACTCTTCGTCGTTCTCCGAAAAGTACTCAAAGCTCCCTGGTGGGCTTGCTTCCTCTCCCATCGAATCGTCATCTTCGTCAACAGCAGTCAGAACACCTGCCGCCTCGGAAGCACCTGTGCTGTAAGAGTTGCCAGCATCACGCTCAGCGTAGGCTTGGTTGACGCGATCCTCCAGAGTGTGGCCTGGAGCCCCAGGAGCCGGTGTGGGTGCAGCCTTCTTGAGTTCTAGCTGCAAGAGATCCTTGGGCTCGTCGGGCTTCGTGTCCGTGACGAGGATAACGCCTCCCGTGGGCTGCTCAGGTGTTAGCTTTTGCCGGACCCAATCCAGATGGGAACTGACCTTCTTGACGGGAACATAGCGTTCACCGGGGAAGCTAATATACTTGAGTTGCGCTGGGAGGACTCTCGACATGTTTTCGAGGTCGTAGCCAACCTTCTCTTTTTCCACCTTTTTCTTTGAACCTTCGGCAGCAGGTGTGCTTTCTTTTTCGCCCTCAGCCTTCTCACCCTTTTCATCCTTTTTGGGCTCTTCATCAGTGTCCATCTTGTCTTCGTCGGCTGTCGAGACTTTGGGAGTAGTGGGGGTTTGGTCGACATCCATGCTTTCCCTCCTCTGCTGCCTCTCCTTGACCATTTTCCGGCGCTTCGCCTGTGCAGTGGTAGAGAGCACAGCAGTCTTGACCTTTTCGGGTACTTCTTCAGTCTTCACCTCTGCCTCCGGCGGGTAGTCGAACATGCTTGGTCTCGTCGCGCTGTGGAACTTGAAGCTAGGTATCTCGAGGTCTTGGTCCACACCGATGATGGCGGTCGGTGTGAAGCTTAGAGACAAGAAGTGGGTCAAGGGGAACCAGTACCAGTACTGAGTAAAGACAGCCATTCCGACGATGGCCGTCATGTTGAGGTTGCCAGTCTGCGTCTGGAGGCCAATGGTGCAGTTACGGCCGCCGGCGTCGATGATACCAAGAGCCAGAGCGCAGCCAAATTTGGCCATGGCATCCTCATGACGGTCGCTGATGACCTTCTGCAGAGTCTTGCGCACCGTGCCAACCTTGGGGTTCATGGCTTCGTTCTGTTGCACCATGATCATCGCCAAGGAGATGAGGGCTCCTTGCCGAACAAAGTCGGTCGAATCCTTCATCATTGGTTCCAGGAGATCAATGGCCTCATCCAAGCCAGTGCCGGCGCAGGCAATACCCAGAGCCATGGTGGCTCCGTACCGCACGTGTGGGTTGTACGATTCGGCGAGGAGCTCAACCATTCTAGGGACGGCACCAGGCTTGCGGAAAAGGACAAAGCCCAAGCTCATGACAGCTACCCTGCGCACATCATCACTGACGTCGCTGACAGCCACATGGAGCAACTTGCGGACGGCCTTGTTGCTGCTCGTTCCACAGTATGCAAGTGCAATGGTCATGATACCACCATACCTCAGTGTTGGGTCAGGGTCCTCCAATAATCCGTTGATAAGCTCATCAGCAGCCTCCTGACGGGCGTACATGATGAGAGCCATGCCCATCGCAAGGCCTCGCACAATCTTCTCATGCTGGGTGTCGTGGGCATACTGAATCATGTCTTCGAGCGCCTTGATGTTCCCAGTGCCCAGCATGACGAGTCCCATGGCAAGACCGACAGCTTCGCCGTTGATTGCAGAGTCGGTGTAAAGCACCGTCTTCAATGACTCGTAGATTTCTTCGTTGCCGGTGGCCATACCAGCAACACCCAGACCAAGGGCGCCGCCGTGCTGGACGACTTCCTCGGTAGCTTTCCTGAACTGGTTGGACAGGTATTCCAACACGTCGGTGCCATGGTTGCTGTAAATCAAGCCGAGGGCATAAAGTGAGCCTCCTTGGCTGTAAGCGGAGCCTGAGACATT